GCAACCCGCGACACACTTCGCAGGATTTTAAAAAAAAATCTATATCGTTAAATAATTCCTAAACGAAGCGTTCTAAGGCATTAAAACTAAAATTTTTGAGTCACGTGACCTCAAAAATTTTAGTTTTAAACTGTTTGGCAGAGTAGTGCTCCGAGATTTGTTTGGTGTCGATCGGCGAAATCACGGGAAACTACAGATCATTTCAACCGCCCTTTAGAATTCTCCTCCAAACAGCGACTGAATTCGACCTACATCTCGACAGCAGTGTCCAAACCCAGTCTTGAACCCCAGGACCTCCCGGTGAGAGCAGCTGCAGAGTCAGCAGCAATGTCGCCTCTGAGCTAACCCAGCCCCTCCCCCCTCCCCCACCTCCCCAGCGCTGGCTCTTCGAGGGCGAATACCCTACTAATGAAAGGGAAGATAAGTCGGGAAGGGATTTCGTTCGGTGCCCGGTTTTATAGCCCATAGCTTAGGAGCGTTTAGGGGCCACGCAATCATTGAGGGTCCTTTGATTTCTCTCGTTCCGACGCGGACCGGAAAGATAAACTGCTTCCTCGATGAGTTTCCTCTGCCTTCGCCCCCTCCCCCTCCCCCTCCCATTCCCCTTCGGGTCGAGTCGTCGGGAAGGGGAACTACCGCGCCCCCTGCTTACGTCGCCCTCCGCCCAAAACTCTCTGCTGTGCTTCTGGAAGGGGAGCTGGGGTTCCACTCTCGGCGGTGGCAGGGTGTCCCTGACTGCGTAGCTAGGTCGAATTCAGCCGCTGTCTGGAGCAGAATTGTAGCAGCCGGCCGCTCTGATCGGTTGTTTTCCGTTGTTTCTTCTATCAACACCAGGCGAATGCCGGGGCAGTAGGCTACCAAATAGGCCACGGACGACACGCGATCTTTCCTTTATCTTTCTTGGTCTATCCTCACCCTTTACACACACAGTTATACTTCGATTTTTCTATAGTGGCCGATGACATTAGGTCGTTGTTACACCTCCTGCCTTAGATAATGTTTTTATTTTTTAATTTTTTTTTTAGTGTTAAGCAAATTTCTGAATCCACGAACCCGGACGTTCGGAAATTGATTTAAAAAATTAATTTTGTAGGGCTGGAGGTACAATAATGACCTAATGTCATCCGCCACTATAGAAAAATCGAAGTATAACTGTGTGTAAGTAATCGAAGTATAAACGAATTACACAATAGCACATGCCGCGTGCCCAGAGATCAAGAGAGGAGAAAACGCGCAAGAGGACATGTAGGTCAGCGCCGAGTCTCTCCAACGAGCTGGGAAGGATCTCCGCCACTTCCCTTGATAAAACATGCACTACACAAGGAGGGTAATGACCGTAGCAGTTGACGTGCCCGGAATCGTCAATCAGTCTATGGAGCGGCGAGGGTGGGGAAAAGTTAGGCCAAGAGGAGGAGAAGTCTCGAGATGCGATTCGCCGTAAAGCAGTGTCGCAAGCGCTGGCTACTTCCTTGTTTCTGTCACAAGGAAGTTTACGGCACGAGAAGATTGGCAGCGTTAGCGTCAAGCATTGTCAAGCATTGAATTCTTAGCGTATTATGATTTGTGCTCTTGTTAACGAAATATTCGTGATGATTTTTATGTCATATACCAATATATTTTTGTTTCATTTGAGTAGCCTGTTACGGAAAAAAACATGGAAAATGAGGAAAAGTCGGGGAATTTCATAGCTGTGAAAATTGGGGAATTCGTGAAAGAATCGCTAGAAGTCAGGGAAAATTATGAGCGGGTTCTAAAACCATGTATTATTCTTTAAAAACATTAGTTTCATTTTTGTATCAATTTTTATTTGGTGGGAAAAAATGTTCATTTTCTGTAACTGTGAAATCAGAGGTTATCAATTAGTATCAAGATTGCTTTAGTATTTTCCTTAAGTAGTGTGAAATTTAAAATCTTATTAGGAAAAAATGCATTGGAAAAGGGAGAAAAGTTTAGGGAACTTTATGGAAATGAGTGGCCAGCGGAGTCTGTTGGTATTTCATTTTCCATGTCAAGATACAAGAGGCAAGATACTGCAGCGGTAGCCAAGCGCACCTTCCAAATTTTACCTTTTCGGCGATTAATTGATTGAATGGCGATTCCGGGAGCGTCATTAGACCCGTAAGTGTAGTGTGTGATATTTCATCGTGAGGTGACGAGATCCAGAGTGGACCTACCGCAGGCTAGCGGGGTTTTCCCAACCATGTATCTCCCACTAGCGGGACCCCGCCCCAGTCGGGACAAACTCTGAGCTGCCGACCGGTCTCCCGGCATGTGAGCTAGTGTAGTGTAGTAAGGGATAGGGATATGACAAGGAAGAGCTGGTCGGGGCAAACCCATGTAGCCGACCTTAGGTCGGCGCCGGATCTCGCCATCCAACAGGGGAAAGACCACCGCCACCTCCGGGGCAAACACATGCACTTCACTTTCGGGACTAATGTCCGTAGCAGTTGTCGCGCCTGGAATCGATAACAATCAAGCAGGCGGCGCATTCTGCAATGCAAGGGCGTTTGACGTGAACGTGCTAATCTGTTGGTTTTTGGAGAAGTTAAATCACGGGCTTATTTTGCAATTTAACCGACTGACGTTTTTGCGTACATTGTTCATCGCGATGTGTCATCCTGTAAATCCCAAAACCACATTTTTAAAAAAAAAAAGATATAATAACAACTTAATTCTCTTAAAAAGTGAAGCTTTTCACACATGCATCATCAATACAGTCGTCGCTTTATGGTTGGGAGTTATTTTAAATACTGTTGATCTTCTCCCATATAAACTCGTTTTCATTTTATATATTACCTGTATTAATCCTACGTGTTCGTAAATACACAGAACGTCCCAAAATGTTCCAATAAAGCCGATAGTCTGATGCAAAATTCACAATGTGATATTTCGAAGCAACTGCTTGTAGTAATTCATTCAGAGGATCTATAGATATTAAGGGAATTTCCTATTGTAGCGAATCAATAGATTATGAAACTAGGAAAATAACTGTGTACGCTTTAATATTAGTGTCACAAAAGGACCAGAACTAGTTTTAGATACCTTTATCCCATCATCAGTGATTTGCAGCAACTATGAAAATTATGAATACATTGATTTTTAATTTTCAAATTTATTTTCTTTTGTAGTTGCTGGCAAACCACTACGATAGGATAAAAAGCCCGAAAACGAATTGTAGTGCTTATATGAGTTTAATATATTATTAAAAACATACAGTACCTGATTTGATTATCTCTTCTCATTATATTAATACGAACTACCATGAGATTTTTGCTGCCACCAATGAATGCGTTCCACAGATGTTTTAACTACATTGCTGAATACAATGGAACCCAAAATGCCAGTTGGCAAGCGAGATATCCAACCCCTTCTACCCATAAAGTGATAACTAACGGCACTTCTGCTTGTTAGGGACATCCGCAGTCGTATTATGTTTGTTGTTGGCCCCTCAATTTTGCGTTTGCGTATTCATAATCCCATCGCCACTCCAATAACGCGAATCAGATAAATTGTGAATTGTGGAGAAGAAATCTCGTACCGGGTAACTTGAATAAATAAATTTTACAGTGGCAAAACGATGCCATACCCGTACCCAGTAAACAACGACGGGATCCTAATGGATGACCCCATAGTAAAATGCTATTTAAATGAATGGAAATGTTACATTTTTAAAAACGAATGATGTATTGATCAATATTGTTTACTATCATTTTCTTGATAGTTATGCTAATTTTTTTTGTTTTTGTTTTGTTTTTGTATTTCCAGCATTATAAACGACCTTTTCTGTTGCAAGAAATCGTTCACGATGGGGCATTTTACGTCACAAATGATTATGTATTAGCATTTTACACTACGTATGATTGCGTCATCACACATTCAGCCAATCACAGCGAGAGAATCGTGGAGAGGTGAAATTAAACGGAATAACCGACCACCGTTTTCTCGCACAGACGTCAAATACTCTAGACCTTAAAACGTTATGTGTTTGCAAAATTAAGTTTGATTCTCTTATAAATTTATAATGCTATTGTGCAAAAGCGTAGTGAATGCAATTGGTTTATGATGTTGCATTTGTACAAATTTGAAAAATCGCTCCTAAAGTCGCTCGTTTTTAAAACATGTACTCATGTGATAAAGCATAACATTATAAACTAATTGCATAAACTACTATTTCAACGTTTGAGGAACGGCTCAGACAAATATAGTATTTTGAACATTTCTGTACCAACAGAGGCACGTTAGTCGCTTTTTTTAAAAGAACAAGTTCGACAATACGTATATTTCTGCAGAAATGACGACGTAAATGTACACCTCTCCTTATGTGAAGGTCAAGATTTTTTTAGTTTTAGCATAAACTGTCGTATAAGATAACTCCTGATGGCTCAACTGATGTCTTATGCCTGTGGCGTCCTAGGTACGAGTCCCGACCGATGACGGGATTTTTGATAATAGCAACATAGCTTAGTCGAGTTCTGTCGCTGCCTGGAGGAGAATTCTAGCGGTCGGTTGCTTTGATCGGTAGTTATGCGTGGTTTCTGCGATCAACGCCAGACGAATGCCTGAAGTATACCCTAACAAACGGGCCATGAATCGCGCGCGATCTTTCTTTCGTCTCCCTTGTCCTATCCCCACTCCTTACACACACGTACACTAATATGCACTACACTGCCACACAAACCGGGAGACCGGTCGGCAGATTCGAGCTTTTCCTGGCTGGGACGGTGCCCTGCTGGTGAGAGATACCTGGTTGGGGGAAAAGCCCGAAAGCATGTATACGGTAGTCGGCGTGGGGGAGGGGTAGATTTCCGCCACCTCCCCCATAAAAAATGCACTACTTATTCGGGACTAATGATCTCAGCAGTTGACGCGCCTGGATTCACCATCGATGAATCATTGAATCGACCAACCAATCAATCATCCAATCAACCGACTAACCAATCCAATCAATCAACGATCCAATCACTCGACTAATCAATGTGCATGTGTGTGTTGCAGGACGTGGCGGCGGCCGCCTCCAGCCGCTCCTCGTCGCCCGGGGGCTGCGGCGCGGACGAGGCGGACGGCGACCTGGAGGGCGAGGAGGCGGAGGGCGAGGGCGAGGGCGAGGGCGAGGGCGAGGGCGAGGGCGAGGGCAGCGGGCAGGACGCGCCCTGCGACATCGGCCTGCTCGAGCGCCTCATCCGCTCGCACCCCGTGTGGTTCCTGCCGGGCATCCAGCGCGCCGGCGCCGTGCACCTGCTGCAGGGCAAGGAGGAAGGGGTGAGTGGGTGGTTAGCGGACTTAGCTCCTGCTTTGTACTCCCGACTGCGCGGGGTAAACACCCATGGAAGCTGTAAGGACCGAAGTAGCCCGTTCGTACTCCTTCCTTCGGTGGGGAAATAAAGCCGGTTGTCCCATGTAGAAGATTTTTTTAAAAAGAGGATCCTCTAGCCTAAAAACAATTTCTGTGCTAAATTCAAAAATGCCTGGGAGGTATCGTCGCCCGACAGATACCTCCTTTCGCAAATAGATGTCAGAAGGCGACGTGCAGGGCATGGACGACGATGTAGTGGTTAGCGTAAGGGACAGAAGAGACCTGGGACATAGAACCCCCAACTGCGCGAGTCCATAATCAATGGAAGCCGTTAGGGCGAAAATACCCCATTCGTACGCTTGCCTTCGGAGGGGAAGTAAAGTCGGTTGTCCCATGTAGTATATTAAAGAATATTATTAAGCCTAAAAGATACGTCAGAGCTAAATTCAAAATCGCTTGTTTCGTCGATCGATTGATACCTTCTTACACTGCTAAATAACAAAAGGCGCCGTGCATCTGCTGCTGGGCAAGGAGGAAGGGTTGAGCGGATGGGGTAGCGGTTAGCGTACTTGGGTGCTTTATACACCCAACTACGCAGGTTCAAAGCTCGTGGAAGACGAAAGTGCCAATATCCCATTCGTACGCCTTCCTTTGGAAGGGAAGTAAATCCATTTGCCCCATGAAGTAGATTTTTAAAAAGATCTTCAAGCATTGTAAAGTTTTCAAATTGCATCTTACCTAAAAATGGTATTTTTTTACTTACACCCTTTTTAGAAAGCAGTAATGATGGCAGTGTTTCAAAATCATGATGTCCAGATCCAAAATACGGGGAGTACATCTTGAGTTGCCATTTTTCAAACGCTTGTTTTCACGAGATTTTAAGTAACATTTTGGCCCTTAACACTTCTGAGAATTTATCTTCACTTTGTGTACTACATTTTATGTATCAATGCATATTTTTCTATTACATGCAAATGACATGATAATGTGTTGCTGATAGAATTATGGAACAAATATAATATTTGTTTTATATTTCAGTCTTATAAACCTTTGTGTGTTTCCGCAGAATTTTGTCGTGAGACAGTCGTCCCAACCTGAAACGATGGCAATCTCGGTGCGATTGCCAGCCGGCAAGGGCCCTTATATAGAGCATTATCTCATACAAGCATCTGGAGGACAGCTCAGCTTGGAAAGCTCTGACAATCGCTTCGACAATATCCCTTCTCTTGTTGCTCATTATTCTCAGTGCTGGTAAGTTTTGTTTGATGCACATCCTAAAACAAAAGGGGGCCCAAACATTATTCTGGACCTCCTTGGCTATTGTACTTTTTTTATTTACATATGACATATTTTAATGGTAATTTATTAAAACATTCTCCTAAAAGAAGAATGGAGTTATAACTTTAATGATAAAATTAATTAATACAATTGTTTTTATATTTAACCTTTTACACAGATGGTTTGGACTGCCAATCCAAATGCAGAACAATTTTCCAAATTCTCAGGTTAAAAAAGAGAGAAATTAGGGATTCATCATATTTGAGGAAATAAAATGTTTTATTATGTGTCCCTCTTCAAATGCTCAGGGCCCATCTCTGTGCACACCTTTTTTTTATTCATATAAAGTTGAACTTTACTGCCCTTAAAGATAAAGAAAGAAATATTTGTTTGATTGGGGTTCTCTACCTTAATTTCCGTTTAACTGTTACTAATGTTTGTATAAAATAGTTCTCAGAGCAAGTTCTTGGATTTTTATTGTTCTGCCCAGCTCTGGTGTCCACCATTGTTTTTCTATCTGGGCTATGTTTCAACAAGAAGTTTTTCTCATTTAATCCTCTAGAAGAATGTGTTGTTTATTTTCACAATCCAAGGGCATACTTTTTAAATCTTTTCCAATTTCAATTTAATATTTTACTATGTTTTGTGTAGTGCTCATTAGTACTTACTCAATTTATTTCTCTACTTTTAAATAAAAAAGTTGAAAGTAGTCTATCCATTTAATTTTTCAGAATTGTAGCAGAAAATACAACCCAATTCTGAACCCTTATTCGCATTATTTGACAGATCATCCAAATCTATTTCACCTGTAGTCGCATCATTTTAATTATTTAGAGTGAGTGTCTGCAAAAACGGTGATCTCATAAAAAGAGATTCAGAGAACTTACAAGTTTGAGAACTACTGTTCTGAAACAAATCATGAGTAAATTTTTCAAATACAATCCTTTGTATCAAAAGTCTTGTTTTTCAGTGATGAGTTGCCTGTCCAGTTAACCCTTCCGAGAGCTCTAAGAGAAGCTAAAAACAGGCAGCAGCTGTCTTCCCTTGCTCTTCTAGGACAAGGTAAGTGTTTTTGTTCGCGCGATGAACTTCCTCACTTTCTTTATAAGTAAAATAGCACTGATAAAATGGATACCATTAAACAATTTAAATCAATTCACAAGCTTAAAATTTTATGTAAAATTTTGTATAGAATAATACTCTTAATGAGTAGCTTCTCTTGGAGAGTCACAACAATATGCCATTTCAGGAGATACAAAGTCTATCAAAAGACTGATAGAAACTCATAAAAGTTGAAGAGTACAAATTAAAACAACTCATTCTATTATCATTAAGTGTTCTGAAACTGATAAAATAGAATTATGTGAACTCTTCATTGAAAAGTCTTAAATATAATTTTCACTTGTAAATAATGCATAGATGTGAAAATGTTTTAAGAAATGATGAAACTTGTGTTAAAATACTACCTGTATTTTTTGGAGAAGAAAATAATATTGCTTGGAATACCTGTCTTTCAGGCAAATCTAATACTAAGCTTTTAATATTAAACAGTGTTCTTTTTAATTTTCCAAATAATTTGGTTTCCTGATGGCAACCTTTTAACAAATATTGATTCAATTCTATTTTGAATGTTAACAGAGTTTTGGAGGTACCCTATGGCCAACCCTCGGCCTCTGGAGCGAGCTCAACCCACGGAAATGGGCAGTGCGCAACGTGTGCCGGGGGTAGATGGCCAACCTAGTCCAGCAAGCAGCGCCAGCAGCCTGAGCAGTTTTAGTAGTGGTGAGTGCCGTTGACGGACGTCATAATTAGTTCAAGAAGTGAATGAGGCGCTATTGATTTACCCATTAGCCACCCTGAGTGGCCTACATTGCTAAGACATGCACGCTTTGGCAGTCTCGATTTGAATGTTCGCTGGTTCAGATCCACCCGGATACATAAATCTAGGCTTGAGTGTAGTGGTATTATCGGAGCTTTTACATACTAACATGCAGTGGCGGCTGGTGGGTTGCGAATTAGGCGAGGCGGCATGTGTGTCTCAACTATCACACATTTTTCCCCTTCAAAATATTTTCTGAACAAGGAAAATTTTAGCATGTAGTGTACAACTGATTTGCACACATTAGGATTTTAATCTTTGTCTAAGTCAACTTTTACATTGATTACAAAAAATACAATTGTGATCATGCGAAAATAAGAAATAAATTTAAAAAACAAAATTCAGTAAACAAAACCTGTAATTTATGAAATCAGACAAAAGAGTCGGTATTCTTAGCGTAGTTAAGGAGCTGACATGTGTCATCAAAGAAACAATTTCTTCTTCTCGTCTCTTTCCCTACCCTGGCTGGATTTTAGAAGGTAGAGCAGTGGTGGGAGGAGTTTGTGAACTGCCAGCACACCACTGTGCGGAGAGTGGGTTCATGAACCATGATGTGCTTGCCTCTTGTGTTTCACTTTTTCTCCCAAACACTAAAAGGTTCTAAGTGTTGCTAGGGGACAATGGATCACAGACGGTTGTGTTGGCATTGGCCGAAGGTGGTCTACGAACCTCAGTAGTGCCAAACAAGAGAAGACGAATGCAGCTACATCAGGGTGTCCAAGGGTGTTTCTAGTGCTGAGGGTGGGGATGGTGAATGAATTCCTAATTGAATTATGAACATTAATGCTCAATGTTGGTGATCAAGTGTGGTGATATTGAACCCATTAATCCCCAATGTCCTCATTTGAGGAAGCAAATTTTTGGTTTTTTTTGCTCTCATTTGTGCATTTCGTATTCTCAGGAAGCAAAGACAGTTTATGAATGTATAGCTAAATTATGTCTATTTTCATGCCTTTCCATTGAACTTATTACAATCGACAAACTTACTAATTGATAAATACACAGTAGCAATTTATAACACAGTATTTTTATGTTTTAATCTAATAATAAATTATAAATTTACTCCTTTTGGAACTTAATGTCATTCACATGAAACAAATTGAACTTGGGGCAATTGGAATCTATGTCTTTGCTTCTGAAAAATTGTTTATATTTGTTAAAAAGATAATAGTACAAAAAATAATAAAACATAAATATTTTTTTTCCAATACTCTTGTTCATATAATTTCTGTCAATTATCTTTAAGTAATTTACATGTCATTTTTTTATGTAATGAGTATGTTGTGTGCAGTGTGTAGAGAATAACAAAAGAGGGTCAGCGTAGTAAATGGTTCCTTTAAAAAGGTCAGTGTCAGGAAAAGGTTGCCAATCCCTGGGTTAAATTGTTTTATTCTTTTTCATTTGGTTTTCAGGAAATAACTTGAGCTGCAGCATGGTCTCGCAAACGCCAACATCGGAGCTTGGCGGAGATCCCATAGTGCTGAACCTAGCGCCACTCACGCCGGCCACTCCCTCTATAGAATCTCCTCAACAGCCAGCAAGCCTTCTGAGCACCTTCAAAGGCCCTTCCACGGATATCGGTGAGAAGTCCAAAACTTTTTAATAATGGCTGCTTCCATTTTTATAAATAAATTAATATTTGTCCTAGGAGTTAAGGACAATCAAATTTCACCTCTTCATGTGGTTTATTTCATTAATTGTGTTTTAAAGTTACTCATACAATGTTTTTAAAGCTCTTTCAGTTTCTTTATCTGCAATTCTAAAGATTTTAAGTTATGAATATTATATAGATGTAATATTTCTATACAAGGAATTTGATTTGTTAATTTATGGTCTTTAAGATTTGACAAAACATTCTAGGAAAATACTTTATTAGGTTACTTAATTGTAAATAATAGTTGTTGATTATAATGAATATTTGAACGTCTGTTATAGTGTTTATTTTATTGTAAGTTTCTTGACCTTAATAAAACAGGCAGAGTGTTTTATAACAATTTATTTCATGTTATATTTAATGTTTTGACCCTAGAAAAAATGATAAATTAGATTATCTATTGCAATATTGGATGACGCAACTTTTTAGTTTTTTAGCTCAATCAAATTAATTCAACTTTCACATGTCTATAATTCAAAATGTGTGATACTACTTTGTTCAATGGCTGCTTTGAAATTATTTTTTTTATAATTGTAAATTCTGAATGTGCATGGTTTGTTTGTTAGAGAATAATATTGTAAAGGAAATAAGCGTGTATTTCTTAGATTGTTTTATTTAATAGTTATTTCTAAACTTACAATGAAAGACTTGAATACATTGCAATGCTATTGCAGTTGATCATTAAAATCAAATAATTCTGAAAACAAGTAATTTTATTTTTTACTGGATTTTCAACAGTAATCAATTTGGATCACATTTTAAAATTAGTTATAAAGTCATGTTTATGTGTGGATTAAATTGTTAGAAATTAGTCTTTTACTTTCAAAAAGTAGTAAGAGCTGTAACTATTTTGAGTAAAAGCAAATCAGCTATTTTATCCTAGTATAACAGTGATGAAGGTATTTTAGGTCTCTTTTGTATATGTAAATATTTTTGAATTTTATTATTAACTGTAATTTGCATTTAATTTTATCCCCAGAGTTGTCACTGGCCCTATTGAAATATATAAATTCTTAGAAACAGGTCTGAGAGAGCATTTCATTTTCAAGCCCTGTTTCTAAAGGGCTAGTCACAACAATCTTCAATACCCTGATCACCTTGCAATCTCATCCCTTTCTTGTATATTACTGTAACTGTGTATCTCATGAAATTTATTCTCACCTTATGTGCAGCTTCTTGCTTTGGTGGTATGGAAGTTTGTACAGCTCAAGTCTTAAAAGTAAAATCTACTTCATTTGTAAATTCCTTACGTCAAGACTAGTACTCTCTTGTCTGAAAATTTGTCCATGACAAAAAATTCTTTTAAAATAGATGTATTCTAACAGAACATGTAATGTGTTAGACCATGTTCAAAAATGACATTACTTTTGAGACAATGTGTACAGCTCCTGTAGTTCACAGCCAAATAGTATTATCTGTGCTAAGAAATCGTAGGATGTTGGTCAGGAATAGATAAAAAATATTGTAGTGTACCATTATTTTTAAAATGTGTATGTTCATCTTTAAGACATACTGAATCATAATAAAATTGTACATGAGTGTGCAATGTTGTGAGCTCTAACATATTTGTTTCTTAGTTGTCACAACCTTGCCAATGGTAGATTGTCTTACCTCCATGTCAGATTGACAATTACATTGTAACTCTATTCCACACTGTCAGGTGTTTTCTGTAGTAATACCATGTTGTGAAAATTGTATTTTATATATCAAATTTTTGAAAGCTTTAATAACCTTTACTGGGAATCGAGCCTAGGTCTGTGGCTTTTACCACAAAACTACTGACCAGGGAATGGATAGAGGTGACCTACAGAAACATGCCTTGATTTCATTTAATCCAAATGAATATGTGAAGGAAAATGCACACACACAAAAATTAGCTGCCCATATGCCCTGGAAGTATTTTATAAAATAATTTCCTTAATGAAATCAGTATTTGCTGCTCAAAAGTCTTCAATCAGTGGGTACAGCCCTTAGTAAGACATCAGAGCAATGCATGGGACTGCTGGCATCTACAACTTGTTTTTAATTTGAAGTGTCCAAGAAATTGAAAAAATATTTTCAATTTCACACATGTAAATCTTGCCCTTCATAATGCTTCAACGCAAGACAGAACATTAATTATAGTTAAAATAACGAAAATAATTGTGAAAAACTTATTTCAGTAGTAGTAGTAGTAGTAGTAGTAGTAGTAGTAGTAGTAATAATAATAATAATAATAATAATAATAATAATAATAATAATAATAAATTAAAACAACTATTATTATTATTATTATTATTATTATTATTATTCATTAATAATAATAGTAAACTATTTAAATCATCACAGTAAGCCGCCAACTAATAAAAAATTGATGAAATTGTAAAAATAAACATTCGATTTCCAAACAAGTAAAGCATAGCAACTCTAACGTGAACTTCTTGCTTTATTTCGCAGTTTAGTGGTGTAGACCTCAACCTGGGATACATGTCATTTAAGTGAGGCAAGTTCAAGCTGGGTGAGGTCAGAGTGCTACTACTACTTCTTGGGCTGCCCAGTCCAGTAACTGGAGTTTTGTTTGCACATGTGTATTCTAGGTTGGGGGAATTAAGGGCATGTTTTGAAATGTTGCCTCTGCCTATTCCCGAGTGAAACAACCAATGCTTCAAACTTTCAAATATTTTTTATTCATTCCTGACCATACTCATGATTAGGGATTGTATTTCAAGGTAAAGACATTTTTTCTCTGCAGTCAGAAAACATGCTCACTTTGTATGTTTATAAAGCACCCAAAATCTGATCGTATACACATGATTTATGGTTTTATGATGCATATAGCACATCTGCTGCAAACATTTGAAAACGTTTGAAAATCTTTGAAACCCTTTAAAAATATTTAGTTTTGCATGTTTATTTCAATTTATTATATTCTGTAATTTTATTTTATTTTTAAAATTGTATTTACATTATGTATTTGTATTTTCTTGGTTCATTGTAGTTAAGATCACTTTCTGTAACTGAAGAATGGAAGATATTGATCTAAGAAATCACAATATTTTTGATTAAAATATGCTGTCAAGTCAATCTTGAAAGTCTCAATTGAAGATGAAGTCTTAGACATGTCTTGTATTATCTACAATCATAGCAGGACTTCATAGGACATAGCAGTACTTCTCCCTCAAAAATGAATGAAACTAATTCATCTTTCATTGCTTAAGTGAAAGGAGCGTAGAGAAATTTGTGTGGTCAGATGCAAGAGCAGGTCTGATGACTTGAGTCTCACCACATGAAATAAAGCATCATTGAATTAAATTGAATTGTATTGAAAACTTTATTTTCTTTTTTGAGTCCACATGTATAAAAACACACAATACAGAATTAAATGTATTAAAATATAGTAAACAAAATATGTGTAACAATAAATGCTTTCAAGACAAATGTGCAGAATAGTTAGCAATTTATAAAAATTTGATGCTTATTAAGAAAAATGCAAAACATGCAAAATGTGCATCATAAAATCATGTTAAAGTAGTTAAACGTTAGGTGTTTCAATCACATACCAAGTAAGCATATATTCTGACTATGCATGATAAAAATGCATATGTATTGAAATCCAGTACCTACTCAATAGTTGTCACTGAGCATCTAGCTTTCTTCCAGTAGTGCCTCATATACCTCATCCTCCAGTATCAACAGTAGTTTCTAACAGTTTGTAGTGGTTGCTGCTTCATACCGCCTCTTGGACGCTTGCAGGTAGTCCCAGTTCCCCCACTACCACTAGCACTGCGAGCCCCACGGCCCTTGCGGTTGTGGCCTCGGCGTCTGGGTCTGTCACCAGCCTGGTGGCTGCTGTAACCCGCGGTCCCCGCCCCACCCCCCCTAACACCCTGAACCTGGCCAACACGCAGCTTTCAGGTGAGGTTCATTACCACTGCCACGGCCAACACCACCTGCTCACCGAGCCATGCACCAGCCTGTCGCAGTTCACTAGCCAACAATAGGGATGCGATATCGGCAACAGAACATTGATGTTTCTAAATACCAATCCTCAAAATTAAAGTATCAATGTTAATAAAACATTGACCCCAAACTATTGATGTTTTTAAAACTGTATTAGTAACCATTAAAATTCATGTGGGAGTCTTGAATTTGAAAGTGATAATTTTCTGAATTTTAATTGAGATTTAACTGACAAAACAAAGTCCAAAAATCATCAATACAGTTAACAAAACTTGGACTATCTAATTCAATAATTAAAAATAATATTGGCTTCTTTATTGATGAAAACTCAGTTTTATATATTTTTCATCCTAGATCACATTCATTTGAAGAATATTCAATTCATAGGTAATTGAAAATCATAATAGGAATTGGTTATGATGGACTTTTTTTTATTTAAAAAATATAACCATGTAAAAACATTGAACACACAACATCGATATTAAAGAACATTGTCCCCCCCAACAATCGATGTTAAATACATCGTTGGTTTTATAAAAGCATCAATGTTTTGAAAACAATTACATCAATGTTGGATCCCTAGCAAGCAAGGGTGCACTTACACTTACTCTCATGACGTTCAATACATTAGCTGCCATGTGTGACCATATGGTTTCAGAGCAAAAGTTAGTATTTTTTGTGTACAAGACCTCATGGTCTCATGTGATGACTTGTTTTACTGTGAAAATAATGAGTAGTGCTGCTACCTATCCAAAAATTGTCAACTTCCTTTTTTATCAACAATGTTTACAGAAAACTATACATTGCAGATGGACTACAATTAACATTTTACATGTCCCAAGGGACCATCAACTAACATTGGCACTGAGGATTAATGACTGTGAATCACAATAATTTTCCATTTAGTGACAGTGGCTCAGTGACCCTTTGTACACATGAAGTTACTCACCAAATATGAATAGTCCATTGTCTGCAGTATTTTACCTATGATAACCTCTTAAAAATTTGTGAGAGTCCTTGAAATTTCTTATGGCAATTAGTAATTTACAGAAAGCAGTACATTGTTTCACTCCCAACAAATTTCACAGCTGTTAGCCGCTAATATTATTTGAAAACCATTTCACCAGTTGCTCTAACTAATATGTTCTTGAGAAACCTCCTGACCGGAGAGTATATGAGCTCCTGACAGACTTGTTATTTGGTTATAATTACCAAAAGCAAAACCTTAAATCAGTCATAACCATTAACACAGAGCTTAAAATAACAGGAGGCTACACTCAGAGCAAAACTCCAACATAACTTGAGCACAAAAAGTATCAGAATGAAGTAATATTTTTGTTTGTTCTTTCGCAATTGAACAAATTGTAATTATAACAAAGTAAAGAGGTGAAAAATTTGTGGGAGTTACAGCCCTTGAAATTTCTTATGGCTATTAGTAATTTAAAGAAAGCGGTAGATTGTTTCACAGCTGTTAGCAGCTAATATTATTTCAAAACCATTTCACCAGTTGCTCTAACTAATATGTTCTTGAGAAACCACCTAACCGGAGAGTATATGAGCTCCTGACGGACTTGTTATTTGGTTATAATTAGCAAAAGCAAAACCTTAAATCAGTCACAACCATTAACAAAGAGCTTAAAATAGCCGAAGACTACACTCAGAGCAATACTCCAACATAACTTGAACACAAAAAGTTTCAGAATGAAGTAATATTGTTTTGTTTCTTCTTTCACAATTGAACAGTTTGTAATAATAACAAAAGTAAAGAGTTGAATAAACACATGAGTAGGTGTGTGTGCTTACCCTTGCTGAGGCCATAGTGAGAGTATGGCTTCATATCGGTGGAGAGTGCTTTTTCACAATGGAGGTCCTACAGTGTACAAAGTATATAGTTCATAATTACACAGACATTGTGTTTTCTTTTATCATCATTTCTTGGTGATAAGGTGATCTTATCTTTTTGCTCTTCAAATTATGTAAAAATTGTTGATATAATATTCACCATATATCTCGGATGTCATCTGAAAAAAATAATTAAGATACTTGTTCAGATAAAATTGTTGGTCTTCTTGTGAAATCAGAAGTCAAAGAGAAAAACTAGATTTAATGGTGAGGAAATATTTTCATCAGTCTTCCTCCTTTTTATTGCTAGTGCATACCAGTTATAGATCAATCATTTTATGTTTTGCATGACCAAGCTGAGAAATACAAATTGTTTTTTGTATTACACAAAGAGCAGAGAATTTATGGGTTAAGTTTTGAACTTGTGGAAGGAATATTTAACGCTACTCAAAATTTGAGTTTCTTTAAAGAGCAAAACATTATCTTATGTAGCTATGATTTGGTCTCTTTGACGTAGTGATTTATTAGTAAGATTACTGAATTGTAGAAGATATTTATTTTTCTTCATGAGACATTTTAAAAATGCACAGATCTTAAAAATGTATATGGCATAATTATAATAATGTGCAAAATACTCAAGAAATCAGTTAAGAAATTCTTTCATCTAGTTGCACCTTACCCTGCTTTTGTTAAATCTGTAAATATCCTTCAAATTTGCCTTCATTTGTATAAACAACTAATTAGTCACTACCTTTCAGTTTAGACTAGAAAATTGCCATTTTTTACCATTCATTTAAGTAAGCTAGTTCAAATGTTATCGTTGGGAGCTTGTCAAAAGTAATTGGAGCAAGCTGTGCCTTCATTTGTATATCAGATTAAATTAGATCAACAAATAATTAAGTAGAGCTTTGAAATCCTTTGCATTTTTTCTTTTCATTTTTTAAAATTAATTGTATATATCAACATTAGGTAGTTGTAGAAAGTTATTTAAAAGTTGAATACAAAATACTTTTCTGTAAAGGGTTGTTGGAGCTCTGTAGTTGGAGTAGTAAATGTTTATTGATTTTATTATAGCATCAACCAATTGCATTTTTATTGTTTAAATAAAACAATTAAATAGAGAATAAGCTGTACTTTACACTTGTATGAATAAAAAATTTAACATAGTTACAAAATTGTTTAATTATGCTTTTAAGGATTTAATCAGTTTATAGTTGCCATTTTACTTTTTTATTTCATGATTGATATTGTTTAACTCTTCTACAAATATGAAATGAAATATTGGATACAAATTAACTCACAGCCATATTTGAATTGACAATTGTCAGCATTAAAGAATTGTTGATCCATAAAGTTATCTAATGTAATTAAAAATTAATTTCATCGGAATTCTTTGAATGTTTCAATTTAAGGAATGGAAATTTGAATTATGTTAAGGATTTTATTTTAATTGAAACAAATCTCAGATACAATTACTGAATATAATGTAATTATTGTTAGATAAACTTTAGAAAATAATGTAATTTAAATGAAGTTCCTTAATTAGACTTAAAAAAATTAATTTCAGTTGGTTTGTAAGTTGAGGAGAGCATTAATAATATTTGGACTCCTGATAAAACAGTGTTTAAAATTGTAGGGTCCCGATCGGCCAGCAGTAGTCCTGCACAAGCAGCTTCTGAGATTTCTTCCGCTCCGTCATCGGCACCTCGTCCTGGTGGAGGGAAGACACCTCCCCCTCCTCCACCACGTTGGGCCAAGCCGACCTCTCTAGCTGTGATGCCAAATTCCCAGCAACAGCAGCAGAATTTCACCGTCACAACGACGGTGACATTCAGTGTGAACGATTCCACTGGCCCACCGCCTCCGCATGTGGAAGTGTCGTGTGTGCAGATGGCTCCACGAAGGCCTGTGCTGGAGTTGGAAGGTCTTTCCACTGCATCTCCTGTGGGAGCTGGACCGAGTCTCCATCAGGTAAAGTAGAACTTCTGTTTAATTGGTGTAATCGTTATGTACATACATAGGAATATTTTATTATAATTAATACAAATGTTTACTGTTTCCTCCACATAATTGACTCGAAGAATTGAGGTAATTGTCATACTTTGGTATCAACATTTGTAATCCCTGTCTGCTATCTGGGATAGGTATCAACAGTGCCGGAACTAGACAGTTTGGGGCAATACTGAAATTTAGACAGCCTGGGGCAATACTGAAATTTAGAAACTATGAGTTATTTTATTTATTTCAACAAATTAAAAATTACAATTTGTAAGCTAGAGAAAGTTTTTGGAAATATATTTTAAATGATAGTTTTATGTAAAAGTATTTAATGATCAAATAATACAATTTCCACAAATTGTGAAAATTATTAATAAATGTTTATTAACATAATTTAATTGTAACATTATTTCATAAAAATTAATAAATATTTATTTAATACTTCATTATTTATTAATTATTTGTTTATTAAATAATTTAATTGTTTATTTAATGATGATTTATTAATTGTTTCAGTTGTGATAAATAACACGTCTATCACAATTAAAACAATTCTTTTTTAACCATCATATTGTCTAAAAAATAATGAATGCCTATAACATTGTTTATTACTTTTTACTAAAAAAATTTTTAACAAATAATGCATTGTATCTTCATGTAATATTCAAATTGCCATATTCGAAGTTCAGTAACATCTCTTTAGCAGTGTTCTTTTAGTTAAAAACCATTTAGTATGTTTTAAGGATTTACATAAGAATTTAACATTTTATTTCTTAATATTCTATGTTCAATAATTTTTATTTTGTTGTTGCAGATTGCATCTCCCACTAGTCCGTCTCCAAGCACCCCGAATGGAGACGCTAGGCCGCAGGTGGGAGCAGGTCGCACACGTAAAAGTCATCGACCTAGTCACCTCAAGCAACAATCTTCCAAGGAATCACGGCATTACCGTGAATCGGATATTCTGGACTCTCCGACTGTTTATTACAGAAGTTCTGTTGCTGACAAGGTGAGTGATTAACCTTAATTTTTATTAGTGGGCAGTGACCTTTTAAGTTTAATTGTATTTCAATGGATTCAACTGATGATGAATAATGTAAAATGTCAAATAGTAATCAAAAATAATAAACGTTGAGGCAGGCTAACCTAACTCCCTCTCACACTAGATGTCTCAATTATTTAGACAAGTAGTAAAAGCCCCTTTTTTCCCCTCTGAAACCATGACTAATGTGTGAAAAGAAAGCAACGATTGGACTTAATTATATAATGTTACAATTTAGTGTTTGAGTTTTGCAATCATGAAATGTAGAGTTTTTATAGTCTTTTAATTGCCTTACATATCACATATTAAATTTATTCTGTGTGTCTTTATTTAGTTGTTAATAGATTTAGGTGAAAGTAACCAGTTGCATAAATTCTTTGTGTTCCATTCATAAAGCTTTAGTCACATTCGTTCATCAGTATAGCTTACGTTTTTCAGAATTGTGGAAACTCATTTAAATTTACCATGACTACCATATATTTATATATCATCAACTTTTTAATTGGAGTAAGATCTCAAAATATATGCCCATTTTGAAATTCGCGCTCTTCCGGTCATTTCGATACATATGTTGTAATCAGTGCACGATGCGAGCTTTTGCCTTCAACTGATAATTACTCAAGAGAGGGGAAAGTTAGGGTCATCGGTCAAGAAAAGTTGCGTGCTTATTACTTGTATCATACATGTGAGCGATATATCGATCGCTAAACGTTTTTTAAATTTTTTTATCTACTTAAATGGCTAAAGGAAAGTGCTATTTGTTTCTGTATATCGCAGTGTTAAAAGTATTGCATTCAGAGGTTGGTTACCCTGCTTCACGTCAGTCTTTTATTTTGTTTATGGAGTAGTGTCTGGAGTGTTATTCAAATCGCAATGGAAGACGTTTGTAATGCAAAGTGAATAATATTCTCTCTTACCCCTCCAAGAGAAGCTATAAAACAAATTAATAAAGTATCCCTGACTACTATGATTGAATTACGTATTTTTTCTGAGCAGTTCCTTGCATGGTGTCACTGTCAGGAGGGAATTTTTACATTGCATTTCTGGGGTTGTTTGCTGAAGTTCGTGTGATTTTACGAGGGATCGTTTGAATGCGGAATTTATTTTCGTTTAGCAAATCGGCATGTATGATTGTGATCCAATTTTGTATGAAAGTTGGTCTCATAGGATGGAAGTACGAATGCCCCATTTGTAAGAATGTCATGAAATTGACTGAGCGAAAGGACCGGTGTGACAGCTACGAGTAAATGGGACCAAAGAAGGGGTCAATTCTCATTTGCTAAAAAGGTCTGAGAAAGGTTTCATGGTTTTCGGAGATTCGATTGAAAATGCATGTGGTGCTTATCATTTCCTGTTTTGGGGTATTTACAGCACCGTGTGAATTTGTAATGAATGAGTTGAGAGTTGGTTCCGATACCGTGACTGATTAGTTTAGTAGTATTGTGAATATCAACGAAAGCATGTTTGGTAAAAGGAAGAACAATAGAGGCAAGAACGTGAATGGGACTTGGGTGTTTGGAGGGATTGAACGTGGATCCAATCGTACGTTTTTCAGGGTAGTTGAAAAACGTAGCAAGGGCGTGCTTTTAGGTGTCATTAAGGTTTTCATCAAGCCGGGAGCCATCGTGATTTCGGACTGTTGGAAGCCTTTCGATTGCCAAGAACACGAAAGTATTCGCCGTCTAAGCGTCAACATATCGCTGCATTTCAAGGAACTTAGAAACTGGTGCTCGCGCCAACAACAACGAAAACACGTGAAGTGCAATAAAAAGAAAACTCCCTAGGCACCACTGCAAAGAGCAAAATACGAACTATTTGCTCGAATACCTGTGCCGACGGAAGCATGTGGAAATGCCAAAACAAGAGTTGTAAAAAAAAGTGTACAATTCGCAGAAGTTCGGTGAGGTGAATTAATAGGCGAGTTATTTTTTTAAATGTCTATTTATTTATTATTCCCTTTAAACAAAATTCTCGTAATTATAATTTTTAATCCGAACCTAATCACATTCTAACGACTCTTCCTTCCCACATATTCCTTCCTGCACTTTATAGATTTAATTTCCATTAATTACTTTCACATAACATGCTACCTTGGCACAGCACTCGTCTCATTTCATTTCATTTCAACGTGTCATTTCAGCCTCTCCCACTGTCTAGGCTACGACATACCACTTCCTTTTCATTAAAAGCTATTGAAATTATCTATTGTTAAATTGGCTATTGAAATTATCTTCTGTTGTATCTATTATTAAATTGGCTATTGAAATTTTCAATGCTTTTTTTAAATATTACCATTGCCAAAATATCCCCAAAAACATCCACCAAAACTCATCACAAACTATATGCAGTTGCCTAGGTTTACAGGTATATATCCAGCTTGATCAAGATCAGCTCCAGAGGGGAAAAAAAGGCAAAATAATGGCATAAAGGGCAGAGAAGGGCAAAAATATGACAAAATGGCAAAATTAGGCATTAGAATCTAGAAAAGGCAAAATTAAAATATACAAAAACAACTCTAAGTATAATTAAGTGATTCCTTTGTTTAAAGTCATAAAATAGTACAATTACAAAAGGCATTTTGCTAAATGACCAGGCACTATTAATAACATTTATTGAAAATGCAAGCTCTATACCTCTCTTTATTATTATTATTATTTGTATTGCCTTGCCTTGTTAATTACTGGTGAAGAATTAAAAATTATCCAGTTATTATTTTATTATATATTCATGTATGTTTGGCTGCTAGAAATAAGCTCATATTATCGCACTGCATGTTCTCCTCCCATTCATATCACTTCACACCTCTGAGCAGAACAACATCACATCGATTTTTTTGTACAAATTAATTAGTCGTGAAAAGTCAACAGCTCGCTTTTGCTCAAGCAATTGAATTTTCAAGTTCCTACCAAGGTGTCTAGAAGGAATGGCAGGTTTTTGTTTTCATCATATACTTTCAACTATACTGTAAACAATCCTATCAGGGGAATGAGTAAGTTATCAAACGATAGAAGTTGGGAATGTATTGGACCTACCGAATCATAATTTATTAGAGGAATATGAGAGACTGTATTACTCTATGAATAAAGGTTTATTTAAGAGTTTATTATTTATATAGTAAGTTAGATGCTATATGATCTAGGACATCGTTCTGTAAGTTAACAAAATAAATTTCCATGTGTTCTTCAGGTCAGTGACTATGAAGATATATGGGGCCCGGAAGGTCTGTCAACATTCAAACCGGTGGTACCTCGATCATCTCCGTTCTCTTCACCCGAAGACATCAGCACCAGCAGTGGTAATAGCAAGAGAACGCCTGACCTCCTTGAACGAGTTGCAAGCCCGGGATCTCCTGCCTGCTTGTTGGAAAGAGTTGGTACACCTGTCTCTCCGGCATGCAGTACTCCACTCAGCTCTCAACGAGAAATTCCCAGGGGTCGCTTGCAACTTATTCTCCCTGCTCCTGGAAGTACAGGTGGTAAGATATCAACTTGTTGATTATTATTTATTTACTTATTAATAAGACATGTCCTTAGTACTTGTGAATGGGACACGCTATGATGCAAATAAGAGGACAAATAGCTAATTACTAATGAATATATTACATGCACAACTGCTTCACAGCAAATATGAGAGGATTTCATGTAGAAGTAGTAAATGCTTTATTCACAGTAATTCATAGAATTAAATGATGGTCAATACACTTGTTATCAGAGAGTAAAAGAGTTTAAGCCAACTATAACATTTTTTAAAGTAAATATCAAAAAATCCATCCTATGAATGCAGTAATTGGTGGTTCTAGGGAGTCTGTTAAAGATATCATTGTTGCAATTAGTGGTTTTATTTTTTATATTGAAATTCATTGGGTAATTTAACAGTTACAGATATGCAATAGAAATAATAAAATCAAGTGCTTAGCATAAAAGATAAATAGAATAGAAAATCAATCAATCAATATAATTGTGAGCAAACACAAACACATTGTTCAGTATCATTTGATACATTTGAGATCCAGTTACATAACTGTTGTTGGATGACAAAAAATACACTGGAATTGAAAGTTTTAATGATGAAATGCTGAAGGTATATGTGCTAATAAAACAGGAGAATCCACTTTATAATATATGATGTTTACACTGTAAATAAGTGAAGGGCTTGATTCTAGGTAGCCACTTTTTTGATAGAACTCTATTCCACTTTTTTGACAAAAGAAAAAAAAAAAAAAAAGCCATTAACATACTCTTTGTTTCAATTGTTACATTTTGTGCAAGTAGTGTAGTGAGGGTAGTTTCATGCCAGGGAGGGTGTGTTTGGAATGTTATCATCAGTGTTTGCTGTGAACTTTTGTCTTCAATTGTTTATTGTGCCTGAGAAGGGGTAGCAAGGTCAACATTCAAGAAAAGTTGCACAGTTAATACATAAGTAGGTAAATAAATAATGAAATAAAATGTTGAAACATAATTTTGTATTACAGGTAGCTCAAATGCCAATTCTCCTGCAGAGGAGATGCAGCCAAAGCAAGGGAGTCCGTTTTATGCTGAACCAGCAGATGCCCTGAAGCAGGCTGCTATTGTGCCAAGGTACACGGTTGTGCATCGCACTTTTATATGAATTATGGGAAAATTAGCATAAGAAGGGACTGGTTTGACAGGTCGGAAAACAAAAGGAAGTCATGCTGGATGACGACATTGCATGAGTTGTGCCCAAGGGCATTTACAAGCGAGCCTAACACATTAGTTAATTGACAACTAATTGTGCACATGCACATAAATTGCACTTATTGTGCTGGCAGTGGCCCAGCAGTAGTTGTCAAATTGTCCCTTTCTTAGAGTAATCTCTAGGGTGTATTCAAAAAAAAAAAAAAAAAAAAAAAAAAAAAAAAAAAAAAAAAAAAAAAAAAAAAAAAAGAGTGGTACCTCTTAGAACAATAAATAATGCTGAAAAAAACAGTGAGATTCAGTTAAAAATTATTCTGCCATTGCCTAGCCTTGTCCAGAACTGGTTTTTGGTGCAATAAATGGTTATTTCTTCTATTTTTATATAATTATACTGTATGTAATTAATTAATTTACTATCATTACTTGTTTTGTTGTCAATGGGATTTTAATTTGTTTCAAATTTTTAATCGATGTAACAAGCTAGACACACATAGCTAACAAGTGTCACTATAGAGCTACAAAGGTATATCTAATTCAGCTGCTGTCTGGGTGAAAATTCTTGTGGACGGCTGCTATCATTATTAGTCTTACGTGGTTTCTACCATCAACACCTGGCAAATGCTGGAGCGGTAATCTAACAAACAGACCTTGTGCGTTCTTTCCTTCCTCTTCCTTGTTCTATTCTCTTCCCTTACCTACTCACAATTACACTTCCATGCTCTACACTCTGGAAAACCAGTTTGGAGAGGTGCCTCACTGGTGGGAGGTACCTGGTTGGGGAAAACCCCACAAGCCGACTTGAAGGACAGCGCCGTATCTTACCGTCCAAGGGGGATAGATCTCTGGCACCTCCTGCAGTAAAAAAATGCTCTTCACTTTTGGAATGAATGACTTTTGCAGTTGATGTGCCTGGAATCGCTAATCAATCAACACGTATATTGATTTTTTGTGTAGACGCAGGCCGAGGCCTCAGCAGCTCCTCCTGTCTGGCCCTCGGCACCGCCACTCGGATCCTACTCTCCTCCAGCAATGGCCCTCGGCAGGGCCTTCTGCCAGTGCGGGCCGCCCGGGTGTGCTCGAGCGAATAGACTCCTCCGACGAGCTGCCTCCGATGTCCTCGTCCGTCGACAATCTGGCTGTCCTCCGAGGGCCCTCTGCCGTTTCCACCGACAGAGCGCGCAACGGCGCAGTGCCTGCTGCTCAAGTGCCCCCGCCGTCTGGTGCTGGCCGAGCACGGGGGAAGCCTGTTCAGCCACCGAGGATTAAACCCATGGGCATGGGCAAGTCCTTTAACGATACTTCGTGGGCTGTGGATTCCAGCTGGGAGTTCATAGGTAATGAGGCCTTTCTAGTTAAGATTCAGAAAACCAACTTCTTGTAGAATATTACTGCTAATAAGAATAAAAGATGATTTTATTCACAAGTAAGTAAATTTAGCTCCCAAGGTAACAATATTCAAACCACATTTCATTGTTTCAATGAGATTGTTGCCAAGAAGTTGTAAACAGATTGATATTTATCAATATATATAAATTATAAGAGTTATTGAAATCCCATAAGTGAGTAACGAGATTATCAATAATAATAATAATATTAAACAACAGGTTGGATGGGCTCATATTATGAAATAAAAAGGTGATAATGGTGTGATAAATTAAATTAAATTGTATTAGAACATCAAAGAATTTTTCTGAAAACTGGATTTAGATTCTTTGATTCTTGAGAAATTGTGAAATTGTTCATGAATATCAGTAGAATATTCCAAAGAAAATTGAAACTTCAGGCTTTTATTTTCTTACTGTAAAATAAATATTTTAACATTGATTTGAAATGATATCTCTCTTTGAAAGACATTAACCATAAAAAAGAATTAAACTGGATTTAATTGGCTGGAAGTGGAGTAGTTTTCTTTGAATTTCTACACGCATTAGTAATAAATAGAAGTACTATGGATTTTAGTAGTAAGTTAATAATACAGATTTCGCTTCTCATTGTAGGAAATGAGGAAGAAGGAGTAATAGACGAAGGGTTACTTGAAGATGGTGGTGGGGAGAGAAGGTTTCCGTCCCTGGAGCAGCAGGAGAACTCCTTGGAAGACGGTGAATTGGGAAGTCCTGGCACCAAGATCACAGTGCAAGACCTCATTGCTCAACGGTAACTCATTCTGCTTTGTTAGAGTTAAGATTTAGATTTATTTATTGATCCCCCCAAAAATAACAACATAAAGAAAGAAAAACTGTATGTAATGTGTGATCACGTACTATTTCTTGAGCTCCAAAATCTTGTCCCAACCTTTTTACTGTACATAGTTGAATGATGAATTAGCAACAATTACACATTAAGAGTTGAAGTAGCAACATTTCAAAACTCGAAATTTTCACTCCAAGTAATAGAAAAGGTATTTGCAATGGGAAATGAACTACAGATATGATTTTATAAAATTGCTAACCCACATCAAAATAGCAACCTATATTTCCAACTCTACTCCTATAACTAGCAACAGGAGAGCTCAACAAAAATTGCACATAGTGAAGCTACACTTATGTTCAGAAGCCAAAGATGGGGCCAGGGATATCTTCTTATACTGGAGCTTTTAATATGAACTGTTTCCATGTGTGTTGGCCTCCTTAGCTTGTGGTGTTTTTTAAATAAAATAAAAAATAAATAAACATTCAAATGTTCTTTTTATTCCATTTCAGGTTGCCAACTCTGTGTCTTTCTCCTGAGATTCTCTCTCCGACGACCAATGCAGGCACGACAACTTCCACTCTCGAGGGTCCCTTGTCCACTGGAGGCCTTGCGTCTCGAATGTCATCTTACGATAACATTGAAGGAGGTCGGCCGGGCACAGAAGCATCTTCAATATCCGCAACGTCTTCCATGCTGCACAACGGTGACCGGGCATGTTCTCACATCAGTGACAACGACGACACCGCCACAATCTTCTCGGAGCCGTGGGATAGCTCCCGGTGGGAAAGCCTTCTGGCGTCGGGTGGCGACGGCGGTGACAGAACCGGTGAGGCGACGCAAGGCGCAAGCGGTCAAAGAGAGACTGATGAAGGACAGAATGTGACCGGTGGTGCGGGCGCCAGTGAGTTGACGAATCACCCAGTGGTGAGGAACAAGAGCTTCAAGGAGCGCCTGGACCCCCTGCTATGTAAGTGACATTTTTATTTGTATTTATTACTGTTGTACTCTATTTATATTAATTTTATAACAACTGTGTGTGTTGTGGGATGGGTACGGAGGAAATCTATTTTTCATTGCCTAGAAGCAAAATGGAGAGTCCATCTATCCTGTCAGAATGGAGTCATTGACACAGAATTTCAATAATTGCACTGTTATGTTACTACAAATTGATCATGACATTCCTCATTGCCACTGTTCAAAGAACTCTGGAAATATTTAAATTTATTTTTTAGCCAAGAAATGAATGTGCTGTCCTTTATACAGTTAAGTGGAAAGTTAAACATTGCATTTGCAATTAGGATTCTTCTCAAAACTTTTAGGACTTAATGTCTATTATTTTGATAATCGTAATTTGACTGTTTTTTCAAAAGCTGACAGTTTTTTTTTTTTCCTGGATCCAGGTTTGGCAAAAATTTTGGGATCTTTTTGTTTTTTGAAGAAAAAAAACAACAGCAGGGTTAAAATGACACACAAACACAATGTTAATAAATTATTTGAAAAAAAATTGTAGTGTGATTTTTAAAAAAAGGTCAAAATTCTACTATAATTCTCGAAAACACTCTACGTACAAAATGTTTTTATATAATACCTACATTAAGCAATTTGCTGGGTAATAAAGAATATAATTAAATTTCTACAATAAGTTTCTTCGACAAGTGATCATTTTGCTTTATGGTGTGGGCTATTGAACATACCAGCTAACAGTTCATGACCAGAGGCATTCATGCTGATTAGCAAATTGTTTGTTTAAATAGGCCAAATTGTAATTTTTTGCCTCATAACAGTAACAATGATGATGATGATGATGATGATGATGATGATAATAATAATAATAATAATAATAATAATAATAATAATAATAATAATAATAATAATATTTTAATTATTATTTTTTAAAATTATTATTGTTCAGTAATTCAATATATAATTTGGTAATTGATAATTCCAGTCTTCATTTGTTGGTATATTTTTAGGATGTTGATAGGGGGTTTTTGTTAAGAAAACAAAACATAAATGTCATTAGATATCATATGAAGTCAGAATGAAATATTCTGAACTTATTTTAGTATATCTTGGTTGCCCTCATTTGATACATGAAAACACTGAAAAGTTCCTCCATTGCGTCATGCGTAAATAATTGCATGCTGTTTGCCTCAACTTGGAGCTGGAAATTTTTCCACTTCCCAGCACCTATTTCTGCTCTCTGTAGTATGTGTCCAAAAGAGCATCTGTTGGTATCTCCTTTGAAGAAACAAGTTTGTACAAGACAACGAGATGCATAGGTCATATTAATTGTAGTATCTGAAAGTAAAATTCCCTTTTGACCTAAAGAAGTAAAAGATCCTGGGAAATAAAAATAGCTTCTCTGCTGCCTGCAGAGATAAGTTTAGATTTGAGGGGAAACAAATATCATGTTTGTTTTTGTTTGTGTAAGCATTTTAACACTGCTTGTGAAAGGTTTCAAAGTTTCTTTATCAATCTCACAATGAACTCCTGCTACTACTAATGCTGAATGCACTTCTTTTTCTTATTGTTTTTCTGCATCCCCTCCAATCAATTTTGATCATCGCAGGACCGCTTCAGTGATCCTAGCATTACCAAGAGGGGAGCCTCACAGGCACACCAATGATTTGTTTTTAACAGGTTTTTAATTGTTTTGGAAAGCTGAAAATCATTGGTATTGTTGCTGATGTTTTTTTTGTTTGAAATATGTTACAATTTATCACAAGTGTTTGTTATTATTTGAGTTATTAAAGTGTGTTTAGCTGTAGGTAGAAACAATTTTGGGTTATGAATTTGAAAACTGATTATTCAACATACATTTTGAAAATATTTGTACTATTTTGTCCCTGTGTAGTAAAATTTAATACATTACTTGTTATGAAGAAACTTCAGCCTTTTATGACAAAAAAATTGTACTTGATTCTATTGGTCAATACAAGTATTGATATGATAATTTTAAGTCGATAATTTTTTTCTTATACAGGGCTAGAAAATGTATCAGATTTTTGTTTCAATGATTGCACTTGTATATCATTAGATGTATCACCATATTCATTTTTCAAAGTCACCAATAACATCAATAAAATTTAAATTTAAGTGGTAGATTCTTAAGGCTCCCCTTTGGTGAAGCACATGGCCAGTTGTTAGAGATATAACAAGAAGGAGCCGCTTTTGCCGCTACTGCCGGCAACAAAACTGCAGATTATGCCCATATGCTCCTTTTCATCTATTCGCTCATGAGCAGTTGTCTCACTTGTAAATGGCTTTGTCACTACCTCTTGCATTGTTATCGTCTGACATGATGTTATTTTGTTTTGCGACCTGTCAAACACTGCTCTTCATAAAGTAAAGCAAGCCTTAGTAGTTGCCCAAGTTACCTAACACAGATATAATTTTTAACTCGTGTCCTTCGTGAATTCACAGTACTCCTTTGTCATTTCGTTTTGTCTCTTGTCTTTTTTCTTCTGTCAAGGTTCCTCCTGCTCTTATTTCACCCTTAATGGTTTTTGCTTACATGCATAAACAATTTAGAAAACATGTGCTGTACACCGAACCTTCACGCATTGCACTAAATGTTAGCCACATCATTTTATTTAATTTATAACTTGTTTTTTGATTATTCTTATTCCTCTTCTCTTATTTTTCTCTTTCTGTTTCCTAAATTCTCATAATTCTGAATTTCAGATCTTACAGATATCAAGAATGTTTCTTCTCTAGCAAAGAACCCAGTATACCTTTCCAGATTTTAGTTTTTGAAGATGTTATTTCATTTTTATATTTTAAAACCAAATATCTATGTAAAGATGATCATAGGAACAACACACTTACATAAATCAAAATGCCTATTTGCTTCACAATTAATTATCTCAGGGTAGTGTAAGTTGGTCTTTATCTCTCACACTCTTTCTAGAGACGATTTTGAACAGTTCTCTTTATATCAACAATGAAACACAATTGGCCCAGACTATATATTTTTTTTAAAATTCCATTAACATTTTTTTACATTATTTATGATTTATAACAGATATGTGATAAAAATAGATATTATTCACCTGAGTGAGTAAGTGAAGCAATAGTTGTTGCGTGATTCTCATACGTTTTTGTGAAGTATTGAGCGTTCCTTTGTGTTGACCGTGTCACAACTTTTCATTATCTGCTCATTGTCCAAGGCAAAACTAGATATTTCTGGATCAATATCAGTGGATCCAAGATCAACACATTCCTAACTGGTGAAATGTCAAATTAAATACTGGTTTTCCTCTTAAAAATAATATTTTACAGATATAGCAATACTGTGTTCAGTCTTTCTTTTCAAATCAAATTCAAAAAAAAGAAAATAAAAAGTCTGTTTTAAAATTGATCAAAGCATTGTTAACATGGATTTCAAGAGACTGAAATAAATTGTGTTTGTTGAAATATTTGCACATGTTTTCTTGTTTAATTCTCAGTGTGAATAGCAATAGGGAATTATTGACAGCAAAATTCTATGATGAAACCAACATTGGGGAATACAGGCTGTCTGTGCTGACTCCACTGTAGTCAATGAAAATAATCAAGTAATCCAATTTTTTCACAGAAAAATTAATGTATGTGCTCTGACACCAGTCATTCTAACCGTTACTCGTCTCTTATTAGCTCTCTTGCTCTCTCTCTCTCTCTCTCTCTCTCTCTCTCTCTCGTTCGTCGCGCTCTCTCTCTCCGTCGCGCTCTCTTTCGCGCTCTCTCTCGCACTCTTTCGCGCTATCTCTCGCACTCTTTCGCGCTCTCTCTCGCACTCTTTCGCGCTCTCTCTCGCACCCTTTCGCGCTCTCTCTCTTTCTCTCTCTCTCTCTTTCTCTCTCTCTCTCTCTTTCTCTCTCTCTCCGCTCACTTTTGCGCTCGCTTTCTCTCTCTCTTTCTCTCTCTCGCTCGCTCGCGCGCGCTTTCTCTGTTCGTCGCGCTCTCTTTCTCCGTCGCGCTCTCTTTCGCGCTCTCTCTCGCACTCTTTCGCGCGCGCTCTCTCTTTCGCTCTCTCTCTCTCTCTTTCGCGCTCTCCCTCTCTTTCGCGCTCTCTCTCTTTCGCTCTCTCTCTCTTTCGCGCTCTCTCTCTCTTTCGCGCTCTCTCTCTCTTTCGCGCTCTCTTTCTCTCTCTCTCTCTCGCTCGCTCTCTCTCTCGCTCTCTCTCTCTCGCTCGCTCGCTCTCTCTCTCGCTCTCTCTCTCGGTCTCTCTCTCTCTCCCTCGCTCTCGCTCTCGCTCTCGCTCTCTCTCACACACACACACACACACACACACACGAACAGTCACACTCAGACTCGCGTTTACATTCGCATTTAGAGGGAGGAACGACCTTGAAGACAAAGGGTGAGGCGCAGATATAAAATGTAGAGACTCTTGAAACCAAAGACATTAATGCATAGAGGGGTACTAGATGGGCGTGCTTGAAAAGATTGCATCCTGGACGCAGTGGCACGTTGAGCAATGCGTTACTCATCGTACGATTTTATCGGGGGGACTTTAGATCAAAATATTTTGGTTTACTTTGTGTATCTATGCGGAGTTTCTTTGTTGATTCTGCTGTGCCTCTCCGGCTTCTCGTTCGTCTTTGATTTCGCCGCCGCCGTGGCCCCTTGAAACCCTTGCAGGTCTCCAGTCACTCGTTTGGCCTTTCTTCTCTTCTCTTCTCTTCTCTTCTCTTCTCTTCTCTTCTCTTCTCTTCTCTTCTCTTCTCTTCTTTTTGTACACCCCATCGGCCAGCTTCCTCGGGCATGCTCTCCCCCCTTCCGGGATTTCTTTGTGGACTTCGCCTCGGCCGTCGCCGCCTTCCTCGTCCTCAGCTTGGTGTCCATCTTCGCAATCAGCGCGTTCGTCATCTTTATCGCTTTCTGTCGCCTTCGCCGTCGCCTTCACCTCCGTCTACCCCTTCGTCTCGTCGCCTTTTACCTCCATCGTCTTCGGCTTCCTCTTTATGTCCATCTTCTGAGAGT